CCTGCAGAGGCTAGAAGAACAGAAGATACTTCTTGAAATAAAGACCAACAGGAAAAATACAAAAAAATATAGGCAGAACAGCTGATTACTACAAGAACAAACAAGTTGCTCACCCAGAAGACATCAAGCCAAGTGGTCAGGTCCCCTCAGGGCAAACCCCCTTCCAAGATTAAGACTCAGTGGGAATACATACTCTGATTGGTGACCACGTTCATCACCAATAAGGCAAAGTGAGGGAAAAACAGCAATGAAGCTGCAAGCTAAGCTCTACAACATTCAATAGACTCTTGTGAACGTGGGTAGAGACCTGGTCGGCCAGCAGTGTGGCAAGACCTGGGGACTCTTGGGCCCAGAATCAGGGACATAGCCACAGAGGACTAGAGTGGAGAGTGAAGCGTCCAGCTCATAAGAACATATGCATAAGAACACCTACACTAGCAGATAACACCCACTTGGCCTGGCTTCAATGACTGGATGATCAGAGCTCAACTAGAAGAAGAAAGAAGAGGAAAAAAGAGTAATCTGATACAATTTGATGAACTTGACCTACACCTATGGATGCAGTAGCTCAAAAGAGGGAATAAATCTTTATATCGAGGATCATTCCCATCCCCTCCATGCACAGAGTAGACAGGAATGGGCAACTTGGACATTGACTACCCAAAATAGGGGGCTACAAAGGCAAGAAATGACTGACTTACAAGCTTTCAAGAGGAAGCCTAGATCCAGAGGGTGTGGAGGAAGGTAGAATCTCTACTGAGTAGTATCCAATCTGACTAGTCGGGGCTGGTGAAAGGAAATGCAGACAGGTCTCTTGTGATACAATAGTGAATAATTGTTATCAGGACAGACTGTGAGGGTTGGAAATGTAAAGGTAGATGTTTTGTAGCAAAAGGAGGGAAGTGATTGACTTGGCAGTCTAGAAGCGGAGGTCTCTGGGACCATCAAGGGAGAAGAGCAGAGAGCGGGACCCTACCCAGAGAAGTAGTGACGCCAGAGATGGAGGCAGAGACGATGATGTGGAGACATGGAGCAGTTGGGGACTTTAGACACAGAGAGGAAGAGGGGCTATGTGCTGACGATGGGGAGGGGGGCAGGCTTGTAGGGTATACCCTTTGGATGGTTGATGATTCATGGAGGGGATTATAACCATGGCAATGAAACAATATACGATAGGATGAATGTAAAACTAATATTCTCCCATGTAAACTATCACATAATTCACAATAAAACACTAAAAAAAATTAATGAACTACAGCTACATATAACAATGTGGATGGATCTTAATAATGTAAACTCAAGTGGAAAAATCATCTCCCAAAAGGGTGACACTGAGCATAATGCCCTTTTAAGAAAATCCCCCAATTAGTAAATGTAATCAACATTTTGTTGTTGTTGTTGTTACGTACTGTCGAGTGGGTTCTGAATCATAGCCACCTTGCATATGGTTCCCGAGGAGAAACGGGTGGGTTTGAACCACCTACCTTGTGGTTTGCAGGCTAGTGCTTATCCTACAGCTCCACACCAGGCTAGTGTAATTAGATGAGTTCAAGAGTGTGGGGGAAGGAAGAGATAATAGCTAAGGAATGATACACAGAATTCAAGATAAGAGACTCCTCAGGATGGAGGTAGATAGATGGTGGAGATGAGAAGAAATATACAGGTAGACATAAGTTATTGTCAGTGTTCTCATTCTTGGATTAATGGGTTAATTGTTTTACATTATAAAGAAAGACAAAGTAGAAGAGGTCTGTCAATAGATGAAGAATGATGGTATATCATGAAGCAAGCATCACTGTTAACTTAATGACTGATGTAATTGAACTGAGTTGAGTTAAATACACACATGTACCTATAAGAAAGGAGCTCTGGTAGCGTAGTGGTTACAAATCGGACTGTGAACCGCAAGGTCAGCAGTTTGAAACTATCAGCCGCTCCACAGGAGAAAGATGAGGTGTTCTGCTCCTGTAATGATTTACAACCACGGAAACCCTGTCCAGGGTCGCTATGGGTTGGAACTGACTCAACAGCTCTTAACAACAACAACCTATGTGAAGGAACTTGGTAGTGTAATAGTGAAGTACTCGGTTATCTGAAAAATTGGAGGATGGAACCCAGCCAGTGGCTCTGCATAAAGATATGGGAGCTATTTCCTCTCCTAAAGATCACAGCTTAGAAAACCCTATAGGGAAATTCTACTTTGTCACCTCAGGATGCTATGAACTGAAATTGACTCAAGGGAATCTAACAACAACATATATGAGATGTGATGGGGAAAGGATGTTTTGAATGAGACTAATAGGAGCTTTCATCAGACCTGGCCCTTGGTCTTGGGGAGACCCCAGTGTGGTGGGAGACAGGCCTGTATTTGCAATTGTGACATGATAAACCTAAAAAAACAGGGTTACACCCTGGGCTGGAGGGACAAAGAAGACAAGGTAACAGTCTCTTGCTGGAAAGTATGTTTCATTTTTAGCTTGAAGAATAAGAATAATGATTTTTACTAGTGGAGGTAGTATCCTAACTAGCAGCAAATCCAAAGAAGGGAATATTGTCATAGCAGAATCTGACCTGTTTAGGAAAATTATTAACAGTAAGATGGTACGTTAAGCAAAAGCATGGAGGGGAGGAAACACTATAGAGGGCGTGATACCAGACCAAAGCATTTGGAGTCTTCTCCAACAACAGGGAGTTAGCAGATACGTCAAAACTATGAAGTCCCAAACTATGAAGGGACTAGATAATAATTAATACTGAAAGATCGTCCGGGTGGCCTGTGTTGGGAAGAGATGGGGAAAAGAAAGTGAGATGGTTTCAGGGATCTAGAGAGAGGTGAAACCTCAGTGAACATAGGTGACAAGGTGAAAGAGGTCCAGCTGACTTATATTTGGAAAGAAGGATGGACAGAAGAAGCTGGTCATTCATAGGCTCCAAGGAATGAGACCAATGAAATGACTTCCAGGCTGCCAGATATGAGACTCGGGTGGTGAATGTTGAGTGTTGGATGCTAACAGGAAAGGGTCCAAGGACGGTGTCCAAAGGTATCATGCTGAATGAGAGATGTCCCCCTCACTCACCTGTGACCCTGATGAACCCAAGACCTGATCCGTATTATGCATGCCTTCCATCATCCTAGCTGTTTTCTTCCTCCGGGTCTTCACTCTGAGGAAAGAGTCCAAGGGTCTTTTAGTCTTGTTACTGGCGATCTGGAGTAGGTAAACCAACCCCTTACTCTCTATGAAGGACATGACAAGGGTGGCTAGATGTGGATCCAGGTATTCCTCCTAATCCAACACCTGGACTAGAAGTTAGAAAGAGAGCCAGAATTGGTCTAACTGATTGTGTTGTTGTTAAGTGCCATCGAGTTGGTTCTGACCCATAGCGACCCTGGATAAGGTTTCCAAGGAGCAGCTGGTGAGCTTGAACCACCAGTCTTGCAGTTCAAACAGCTTTGCAGTCTGGTGCATTAGCCCACAGCGTCACACCAGAATTCCAACTGATTGTAAGTGGACTGATATCATTTGTAAAGCTCTCTTCCATTGCTCTTGGTTATCCTAACCACTCCAGGTTGCTCCAGCTCAGATTTTGTGAATTTGAGCAACCTGTCCACCCTTTCCACCTAAGTGATTCCCTCTGACCCAGGAGCCCACTCACTCTCACCTGAAGACAAGTAAAATGCAGAGACAAAGGAGAGTCATGATGCCAGCTCCCCCAACAGCTCCCCCAACAGCTCCCAGAACCTCTGAATATAATCTGGGTTCTGGATCCCCTACAGAAGGGAATTCAAGGTTTGATTCAATGTCAATTTCAACCACCTGCTTCCCTCTGCACTACTGTAATGTGTTTAACCCTCACCCAGGACTTGGTCACTGCAGAAGGGACCAACTGCTTCACAACACAACATGCATTCCCACCAGCCAAAGGACCTAGATTCTTATCCCCCCGTCACGCCTGTCTTGAACTTGAGTGCCTCTTCTCCCAGCTCCGTATCTCTGGGGCTCAGGATCCTCTTCCTTCAGAGAACCTTGACTTCACAGCAATAGGACAGTGATTCTCTGGGTTCCATGGCCATTCAGGCTGAACCCCACACTGAAGCTCCAGGAGCTGTTAGCCCAAGACCCAGTGGAGTTGAAGGCTACCAAGAGGGAAGTGTTACTTCTTTTCCCCTTCACCAGCCTGCCCCCAACCCACCAACATGGGGAGAGGCCCAGCTGAGCTTGGGCAGAGCAGATCTTCAGCCTCCAAGCTGCGAAGGAGCTATGGGAAGGCAGAAGAGGGCTCAGCAGAGGACCTCTTGCCTCTCTAATACCATGGAGTCCTTGCCCCAGGTGCCTCCCAGACTCACTGTGAACAGAGAGATTCAGAAGAACCTGCTGGGAGCCCAGTTCATTTTCAGCTTGACAAGTGAACACTCCTTCTTTTTCAGTCCCTACTTGAGGCAGCTCCACGTATCCAAGGTTGGAGAAGAGGGAGGTGTTCAGGGTTTGGAATCCCCGGAACCAGGTCAGCCTTGCCGGGGGGTTACTGTCAGCAGTACAATGCAGACGCAGAGACTGGCCCTCCAGGATGGTAAGAGATGAGGCATTTCCCACGATCCTGAGGACTTAGGGAGAGAGAAAAAATAAGGAAAAGAGAAAGAAATATGGAGAGAGGAAACAGTGAACTTTTGGGCGGTTGACAGCCTTTTCCTTCTGTATCTGCACATATCAAGCCTAGTATCCCTTTCCTCCTAAGGTGTCCACACTAGCCCTGGGGAGGGAGGCAGCGTCCAGGTCTCAGTCTTTAGACAAGGCACAGATCACTTTTCCTGGAGTTGTCCCAGCTGTCTGACCAATGGAAAACAGAGGACTTCAAACATGAATACAGTAAACAAATTCAGTTAATGGACCAAAGAAGAACATCAGGAGGAGGAAAAACATCAAAGATAGGACAGCTTCCTTTGGCAACAGAGATTTATGGGTGAACACAAGGCTGATTTCCAAGATCTGACACGAGGAGGGATTTTTTCCTCTGCTCTTTCCATATCTGACCTTATTAATTGGTTTCTTGTGCTCCAAATAGTCATCTAAGAGCAAAACAAAAGTCTGTCCTAAGCTGCTAGAGGCTCCACGTCTACCCAACTTGGAAGGGAGATGGTCTTTCTTACCTGTGTTGTTTCCTTGGAAGATGCTGATGACCATGTTCTGTGGAGCATCTGGGAGAGAAGATACGGCAGCCTCATCATTCATGGTGAGAAATGATTGACATCAGACCTTTCCCCCAGAAGCCATGTAAACAGGCAAGGAGGTTCTCACCTGTTTGGTCAGCAGACTTCAAGCCCTGGCCCAGCCCCATCATGGCCCCACACCCTCAAGGACCCGGGGTTCCCAGTGAACACTCACAGACGACATTGAGCTGGACTGTCCTCTTAATGGTCACACCAACTGCAGGGAAGGTCACCTGACAGGTGAGGTTGCTGCCATGGTCCTGCGGTCTTGGGAAGAGGGTGAGCGTTGAGGAGGTGGAGGTCCTAGGGCCCATGGAGGTGAGGGCAGCTAAGTTCCAGAAGAAGATGGGAGGTGTCCCCTGCTCACAGGCCCAGGGCACAGAGCAGGTCAGATTCCCGGGGTGGCCAGACTTCAAGATTACTGGGATGTGGATGGTGGGTGACTGGGTCAAGCCTGAGGAGGAGAGACGGGAGATCAGAGCCCTTCAGGATTTTGTCAGGAAGGCTCGGGGTCTTGTCAGGACTGTCCCCATTCCCGTGAGGAATAGCAGCATCTTTTTTTCTACTCTTGGTGTGCCACATCTGAAGGTCTTTTCTGGGACCTAACATACCTGTCCTGGTGTGGCACTGTAGGATTAGCGCTCAGTTTGAACCTCAAGGTCAGCAGTTCAAACCCACCAGCCACTCCTCAGAAACTCTATACAGGGTTGCTATGAGTCAGAACCGCTTAAACACAACATACCTGTCACCTTCAGAGACAGCATCTTGTCTCTGTATGTGTGTCCTTCAGAAAAATAGTTCTCTATTCGAAAAACATACGTCCCACTGTCTGCCATGTTGACATCCCTTATGCTCAGGGAACAGTTGTTCGTCTGGAAGCTCCCGAGGAGGAAGAATCGGCCCTGGGTCCTCTTCTGCACTTTCCTCCCTGGTTTGTTTGTAGCCACTGGATCATCCTGGTACACATTTGCCTCTTTCCGGAACCAAGACATGTAGAGGTGTGTATACACATACCTGGGGTAGTAAAATTTGCACGGCACAAGGACACACAGACCCTCCTGAACAGTCACGGATTCCTGTAGCTCCAGGTGTTTTATCAAATTCTGAGTCAGGGACCCTGCAGTGAGAGAATAAACTAAGCTTCAAGTTGCAGAACCTCCCCTGAGCAGAACACCTGACCCCCTCAGTCCACTCACCTCCCCACAGTAGAGGCAGCAGAAGCAGCGGTGGCAGCATTTCTGGCCTTGGCCTTCTGCAGACTGGAGTCCCTCTGAATGGAAAAGGAAAGCTATAGATGTCCTTTATAGATTAAAGAAAACCTGGACAGGAAAATAGTGGTCATAAGAAAATGTACAATGAAAACCACAGAAGAGGAAGTTTAGACTCATCAAGCATTTAACAAGAATGATTGCTTGAAATTATCTAGTTCCATTTCTTCAGATCACAGATGAACCCTGAGAATCTGAGGGGACAGACAGCAAGGAAACACAAGAACCGGCAAGTCCTGCTTTCTGCTCTTGTGCACAGCAGTATGTGCTCGGGAAGCAAGTTGTCACCTGGTCAGACCCCTGGGAGTTACAGTCTCAGAATCTTGGTGAAGTTCAGCCTGCCACGGATGGCACTCAGGATGACCTGTCTGAGTATCAGAAACAAACGGAGAGACTGAGGGGGGGAAGGAAGGGAAGCAATGATTCACTCATTTCACTCATTCATTCACTAACTGTGGACTTGTTACGGGCTGAGTAGTTTTCCCCCAAAATATATCCTGAATCCCTAACCCTGGGACCCTGAGAATGTGACCTCGTTTGGATATAACATCTTTGAAGATGTTATCAGTGAAATTGACAA